GCACCGCTAAGCCACCGGGCAGGCCCAAGGAGCTGATTTGATTACTAAATTTAAGCGATTTACTTCAAGACACAGAGAGAGACGAGTGAGAGCCCATACATGAATTCGTGACTCTTCCTCTGTCTGTAGTACACCGTGACCATTTTCTTCCATTATTTCAGTCTCAAATCTGGAAAGAGAACAGTCTATAACCATATCTGAGATTTTTACTTACCTACCTAGGAACAGGACATTCACTTTTCTCTAAATTTGGTTTTTCCTCCGAAAGTTCACCCACAAATTCCCAACACATTGCTGAAACCAGAATTCTTCCAGTGACTACTTTTGTGAAACAGCCAAGTGTTTTAATAAATTAAACTTAAGGAGTTATTAGTCTAATCATTATTACTATCACTATTCCAAGTCTTATGGAGCAGGTATGATGAGCAAGATAGGATGCTTGGGATACTGCCACCATGAAGCAAAGTGGTTCAAGATGGGAAAGAATTCATTAATTGGTAAAAATCAAATGTTCCCCTTTACCATAGCTAGGCTGGAGTTTCCAATTTTTAAAGTATAAAATTGGTTTTTGTCAGATGCTACTGCTTATAATCATGACTCTAACCTCAATACATTTGTACCCAAAATGTATAGCCCCTGGTTGTTTCCTGTTTTCTTATCTGTCACTTACTAACTCCACTTACTAATCCTGACAAACACTTGTGGGCATTTTCCTCTGACCTGCCTGCGGTACTCACCTGCTTACTAAGACTCTAGCTATCACCCGAGAGCTCGTAGGTGGCGGCTCAGTAACCCTAACACCCAAGTTTGACTCTCCTCACCAACTTCTCGTGGGAAGTCAGCCAGGTTTCAGGGAGATGAATATCTGTCTGTTTCCTTCTGACTCACTGAAATGTGAGTAACTATTTGGAACAGACCCTTATTTGGGAGGCAAGATAGTTCTCTTCATGTGAGACAGGAATTTGTGCTTTGTCTCTGGGTGCTGGAGAGGAAAATGCACCTTTCTTCCCTTTTGTGCTCAGAACTGAACAAATTAACAGTATGCTGGCATGAGGTACAGAATAAATCAGGAGCTATGTTTTTCCGGAGCAGGCAAAAATTTCAAATTTCAAGAAAAGCCAACTCCTGCCCCATGTTAATTTTAAGAGTGTCAAGGGTTCCTGAGACAAAACATTTTGAGAACTCTCGCCTTAATCTTCCTAGGGACTATCCTGCCTAGGTGTAACTGTTCTGGACGCTACATTCTGACCAGGAAATAAGGAAGATTAAGGCAGGGCTTCTCAAACTCTTTGATCTCAGGAGCCCTTTACACTCGTAAAATTATTGAAGATCCCTCGGAAGAATGGATAAAGAAAATGTGGTATGTAGATATGGCTGAATATTATTCAGCCGCAAAAAAGAAGGTAATCCTACCAATTGCAAAAACACGGATGAACCTGGAGGACATTATGCTAAGTGAAATAAGCCAGACAGAGAAAAACAGATAGTGTATGATCTCATTTAAATGTAGAATGTAAAAGAGTCAAACTCGTAGAAGCAGAGAGTAGAATGGTGGTTACCAGGGGCTGGGGGTGGAGGAAATGGGGAGACGTTGGTCAAAGGGTACAAACTTCCAGTTATAAGATGAATAAGTTCTGGGGCTCTAATGTACAGCCTGGTGACCATAGTTAACAATACTGTATCGTATACTCGAAAATTGCTAAGAGAGTAGCTCTTAAGTGTTCTCACCACACACACACACACACACACACACACACACACAAAGATGGTAACTATGTGAGGTGATGGATATGTTAATTAGCTTGTGATAATCATTTCACAATGTGTATGTGTATCAAAACATAATGATGTATACCATATGTATACAATTTTAAATTGTCAATTATACCTCAATCAAGTTTGAAAAAAATTTATTGAGCATCCCAAATAACTTTTATGTGGATTATTTCTATTAATGTTTACTATATAAGAAATTAAAACAGATCCATTTTCCAATATTTATGTACTAATTTATTTTAAAATAACAATAAGCCTATTACATGTTAACATAAATAACATATATTTTGTGAAAAATAACGATATTTCCCCAAAATAAAAGAATTCATGAGAAGAATGGCATTGTTGTACATTTTTGCCAATCTTTTTAATATCTGGCTTAAAAATAAACACTTGGATTTTCATATCTGCTTCTGCATTCAATCTGTGTGATATGTAGTTTTGGTTAAATTATATGAATTAATCTGGCATCATACAGATATGCAGTTGGAAAAACAGGACATAATTGTGGATATTCTTCAGACACTGCACCAAAACTCGACAAGTGGTGGTTTCTTCAAGACTAGTTGCAATGTGGAATCTGACCCCATATCAATGAACTTTTCCTACCCCAGTGCATTCAAATTCATTGGTCTATGAGCCCTTTGAACAGATCTTTTACCCATGCAAGATTTTGTCCCAAGATGCATTAGCATTTGGAAATTATTGGTTCACTGAGTTATGCAGATCTTCCAATTGTTGACGCCTTTCAGTACACAATATCAAAAAAAATCCTGTCACCACCTATCTCATCAGAAAAGTCTCTACATGTTGGGAAAATGTCAAGCTTATGCTGGTAGATACACATTTCCAAAATTCTAATTTTCACTTGAAAGCTGGAATTTTATCATTGGCAACAAATACTGTCAGTTGTTTTGCTTGAAATGAAAAGCCCACTTTGTTCATTTTTTAGAAATGTCTGTCAGCTACCCAAGTCTGAGCAACCATAAGTTATATATCAATTGTTCTTTCAGGTAAAACTAATGTTTCATGAAAAAAATGGCACGTTCAGTTTAGGCATCGTTGAGACAACCGTCCTACTTCAGTGCACAGCAGAAGTGCTTTATGTGTACTGCCCAGATTAACTCATGCAAAATATTCAAAAGACATACTCAAGGGTCAAGATTTATTAAAGTAATAAATTTACTGATTTATCAAGGGTATTCTTAAGTGAAACTAGCTCCTCCTTCTTCCTTCCTCCCTTCTTTCTTCCTTCTCTCCCTCCCGCCTCCTCTCCCTTCCTCTTGCACCATCAGGGTAAATGTGAACACAGTGAAAAACAGGAATAGCGTCTCAGTATTATTATGGAAATCATTTTGACCTATTAAGCACCTGAAAGGGTCTTGAGACACCCAGGGACCGCAGTCGAAGAACTGCTAAGGGATGGAGTGAGGCCTCTCCTCATTAAGGGAGGAGGCTCAGAGGTATATTTTCCCACTGTTTTCTTTTGACCTCTTTTTATCTTCATATCTGGCTCTTCTTTGCTTATCTCATTCCACATATACAATCACCTAAACCAGAAACTTTTGCTTTTCGTGTATGGGGTTACTAACAGGCCTCCCTGCCAGGCCATATCAATTCTGTCTTTACTCTCTACCACGGTTATCTATGCCACTTCCTATTCTCTGTTCTACTGCTACTTGCGTTAGTTAAAGCCCTTTTGATCTTTCACCATGATGACAGTCTCCTAAACAATCTCTCTGGGCTTCCTCCTCCCTGTCTCTGGTCTACCCTTTAGACCATCATCCCAGTTCTCTTTCTAAAAGGCAGGATTGATCTACTGAAAATCTTTGGATGTCTACAGGATGAAGTTCAAGTACCTTAGCGTTTAGGCTCCCAGATGACCCCCAACATGCCTCTGCAGCCTCTCCTACCAATCCCCAGTCTCTCCCCCCCGACCTGCTGCCCTGAATCCCACGCTTAGGGCAAATTCACCTCTCCAGCGACCTGCTTCTCCCATTCTTCTTTGCTAAGTCCTTAGCTCTTTTTCTGCCTAAGATGGCTTTCTCTCTTTTATCCATTTTTTAAAATTCTACTTCAAGGCTCCAATCGAATTTTATATTACCTGCCCAGCCTTTTCCTTTATTCAGAACCAATTATTCTTTCTTGGCTCCTGACTCCTCTAGTTCAAAAAAAAAAAAAAAAATCTTTC